CACCGCTGTCGTTGATGTTTCGGCTGTTGTTCCTGATGTTGCTGTTGTTGATGATACCACTGATTTTGTGGACTCTGTACTACCTTCTGAAGATATCTCTGTTAAACGTAGTATTCGCGATACCGGTTAAAGATAATACGACTCAGATATATTTTTGATCAGCTCTAGATTATTTAGTGTCCATTACAGATTATAAATATAACGAAATATAGTCGTACTTGTTTAGTGTTTAGCGTTGACTGTGATAGAAGTCGAATGAGAAAATCATGTTTTCATATAAAACAGACCTACCATGTATGTATGAGACGTTTTGTGCATTAGTATATCGATGTAGATAGGAATGATGATATATCTGCTAGGATACGATTCAATATTGTCACCGCTGTGAACACGTTAATTGGTTTTAATCCAGTTTGTAGCCGTGGGTAGTGTATTCTGCATACTTTTTCTAATGTTTGATATGGTAGGCTATATACGTAAAACTTTTATTGCGTTACGGTTCTCCATCAGATAAATGAGCAAATTCAAGCTAAGAGGTGAAGAAAAAACCCACTACACGAGTAATGTATTATGCAGTTAATGAAATGCCCCTTTGAGATTTTTCTTCTAGCCACGTAGGGCAATATCTAAATGGTTGCATATAAACAAATATAAGTAAGAATTACTTAGTGCCGTACAAATGAGGGTGCATTACCTGAAACGCTTTCTGTGGTTGAGGATGTTTGAGATGATGATTGAGTAGGAAGTGTCAGGCCTGTACTTTCTTGAAATAAAATATTGTACAGTTATTCACATTGCTTTGTCGATGCTTTCCCGACCACCAAGTGTAAATGGTGCTTGGGTAACTGCGAATGAAGGGATTGGAGGTGTGTCGTGTTTGCTTTGAGGAATAATGTAATAATAGATAAGAACATTTTGTTTAGCGCAACGAAGTTAAGACATAGTTTGTTCAATCATTTGTAATAAGTCCTGATGCATTTTTGTGTACCCATATATACAAAGATATATAATAAATTATTATATAATAAATTCTGATTTGTACATTTGATATATTTTGAAACTACTTTTGTATTTTTCACACATAATTATCATATCAGATATATTTCTGCTTGGGAAGAATGTTAAGAAGCAGAATTTGCAACGCTGTTTTACGATGCTCGCAATTTTGGAAATATAAAGAAAGTTTGTTGAAATGTAAAAATGTGCAATACCGTTGGGTGAGTGCAATGTAACAGTTTGTGCTTAATGAAGCAGAAGGGTGTGCTGTTATCAGAATTTGGGTGAATTGTGTTTCAAGATTGCAATGCAAATATTACAAATGAGATATTTAAATCAGCTGCTCTAGATATTTTGATCTGTTGCAGTTTGTAATGACGAATGGTTCTGTCATAATCATGGTCTGCACAGCATTATCATAAATTACGTCTTTTGCTCGTGTAACAATTTAATGTTATCACTAAATCACTAGTATTTAAAATAATATATTTATTGTTACTTTGCCCCAAAAATTAAAAAAAAAATCATTCTCCAAGACTTTCCTATTTGAGAAAATACTTTCGCATATATATTGACTATTGACAGTAGTTCTAAAAGTAATACATCATAGGATCCACTAAGCCAATATTTTCCGAAGAATTGAAATAAAATGCTCTGCTCATTACGTATTAATGTTTACAAACTGCCAAGTATTATGTTGTATTAGCGGCCAATACAGATTATGAATTCAACTCTCAACACATATGACGCATGATTATATATTTTACATCTTAACTAAAACATTCATCTAGGTGCATAGTAAGGAAAATGTGCAGTGTTGTGTATACATGTACCTGTGATACCAGTAGTTGGTTTGTTCACTAAGAACTCAGTACTCCCTGTTCCAACTGATGATATGTAAACATATCCATATACAGTCATTATTAAACTGAGGAAATATTAACAGCATAGTGAAATAATTGGTTCAAAATTTGAAATTGTTGAACTTTTGAAAAAAGGCAGTTTCAAATATATAGACTGAAGAAAAATCAGCAAATCAAATATTGTTCATCATCGCTAACTTAATTAAGCCTTGTGACTATCTGTGTAAGATTAGTGTTAATGTAATGACGTCATTAGAGTAATGATACACTGGGTTTTCCCCGCTTAGTTACGGTATCAATAGATTTTTGTTTTACTTCCCCTAAAACATGTTATCCAAGCACATTGATGAATTGCCGAATAAGGCGCGAAATAAAACATGTTTGGTTGTATTTATGCAGTAATGCGGTAACTTTACAAAGTTGCCACGTGTTGACATACTGTTATTGCAGGAGGAACTTATTGAACATTTTTTTATTTGCGAACATTTGTTGAAGGTCCTGCATTCACCTAAATAAAAATGAAATTACTAGGATTTCTTGCTTCTTTAATGTCTATACGGAAGATGTTACAAGATTGAAAATCCGACAGGTTGGCCACATTGATTTATAACGCAATTTCTATAGATGTAATTCACTAACCTGTTGAAGTGGTCGATGGTGCCTCTGTTGTGGTTGCGCGTGATGGGGTTGTTGCTGTGATTGTTGTTGATCCTGTTATGCAATTTAACACATACAATGTATGGAATAGCAAGTATCTTCCTTATTCTCAAAGGTAAAATCAATATAACATATAATTATGTACCTGAATTAATTGAAAATAACCACATCAGTGGTTCAGTAATTTCAGTGCGTTTTCTTCACGCATACATCATATCAAGAAAAGTTACCTTCACTTATGTTCGTAACACGCAAACACAAAGGGGATACGTAACACCCCTTTATTTAAGAATAATTCAGTGAAAACAGGGTACCGGTATTCTGATTGTAGCTTACTAAAAATGCACAGCACACTAAAACTAAATAAATCTTGTCAAAATCTCATAAAAGTATTTGAAAATACAATATTCATCAGAGGCAGTCGACTGGTGTTGAAGTAGTTAGTACAAAACATTTTCTAACCTACATACAGATAGGAACAGATTATAACCACTGCGATGGCTGTGCGCATCTTCTGCACTAAATAAATCATTTCTCGCTAGGTACTCTAACTCATCATGCATGCATGAGTTATTTATATTACATATAATTGCAAAGAAGTAATAACGATTGTGCAGACCAAAGAATTTGTCAAATATTCAGGGCAACCCACCTCTGTTTCAAGACAGAAATATTAACACTTACATGTCACAGTATATCACAGAGATATTAAACAATTATACAACGTAAATACAGTAATCACTTATAAAAATATATTCTGTTTTAATTGGAGGCTAATTATTGCGTAAAATTCATCGTGAAGTATTGCTTAGTACCTCTTGATGTCGTCGATAATGACGTAGTTGCACCAGTGCCTTGTGTCGAGGTTTCTGTTATTTGAAAGAGATGTAAAGATCAAATGTTATTCGCAGTAACTTATCGGGAAAAAGACCTGCTAGGTTAATGAAATGTCTATTTGCTTTGTTTCTATGTTCTAATCATAAAATCCATGCCAAAAAAGGTATAAAGAAAAGCTGCAATAAGTGTTATTATTTATTGTGTGGAAATAAAAAGGGAATCATTGAATCCAAAACGGTATCATCAAAAGAGACTCATATACAAAAAAAAGTCCAGGTTCGAAAACTAGGTTATCAGCATAACAACATTAAAAAAAAACCTGTTTACAGGGAGACAAGTATGTGTGTAACAACGAATGAAGACAATTTGAGTCATGTAAGGGATTTGTTATATTGTGTTAAAAATCAGGTCAGTTTATAGGAGAGCCTCTTTGGTAGCATATCCAGAAAATGAAATACACAACGAACAGTCCCTTAACTAGGGCAACAACCTCGACGTTCATAATCTATTCTTTTTTCATTCTGACGGATACAAGGGATCCCACTAATGCTGGAAATAGCTGTCATTATAACAACACCACCAAACTACATGTATTGAAATGTAATAGATGGAAAAGCACTTTAGCATCTTACCATAGATGACCTTTGCATTAAGTCAGATTCATAAGAACACAGGACACAAATCGACTGGAACTTATACAAAGTGAGTCATTTAAAGAACGTGTTAAGCATTTTGCTGTTCCAATTTCATAATGAAATCAATGATGACGCACGATTTGATCAGATAAGATTTATTGTTAAAAAATTAAAACATACCTTATAACATTAATTTATGTAAAGTTCAGTGAATCTTTTTCATATTCGTATCTTTGACTGTAAAATTCAACTTAAGTCACATCAAGTTAAGAGTTGTGATTTGATAGTTAAACATAGTTCCCAAAGTATTTAAAAACTGGTCAAAAGGGATCTGTATTGTCCTAATTCTCTAGAGGAAAATACAGAAATGAAATGAAATGTATGACTATCTGTTTTGTCTTATTTATTAAATCAAAGTGATTAAAATGTAAAAGTGATATCAAAACAATTATGTAAAGCTAATGTAACAAATAATAAGGGTGGAAAGTAAAATTTTATACTTGTCAAGTAACTTACAAAACAAAACGAAATCCTTGGAACAGAACACTATAAACAAGGGCAGTTCAACGACACAATAGTCCGTAGTGAAGTTTAAACCTGACATGGATGGATGATGCATGAAAACCACGTCCATGAAACAAATGCACGGTTGCCAAATTTGATTTTCTCATAACACAATGAAAGATAATGTACTAATTGTTTGACGTTTAATTGTAATGGAGGTACAAATGTGGTTGTTTATATGTCGTTTAAACAAACCAACAGGTCTATGTTGTTTAAACAACATTAAATGCAATGTTAGAGTAAGGTAGCAACGCCTATGAGATAAAAATGGACAGAATACCCTGTGTTGTTCCAGTTTCTGCTGTTGTTGATGGTAGTGTTGTTTGTGTTGTAACTACACCTCCGCCTTAAAAAGAGATCATTTGAAACAAAAATGAAAATAAACTAAAAACAATTACCATTTTTGTGTAAGATCAATAGGTATAAGTTCATTTAAATTTTGAACAATGTATCTTGTTTAAATGTTCGGATAAAATATTTTGCTACACAAACACACAGATAAATTTGTACTTCAATACTGCGAATGCGCTGCTGTCATTTATAAGTGTTGTAAGAAAGGCCCCCAAAGCTTTTGGAACGTATGTCGTTTTGTTATTACTTAACTGTACAGCCGTTACATTATAACTTATATTGAATTTACTTACTTTAATAAATAAGTCAATGATGATTGTTAATCGTTTTAACCATCATACTATATTGAAGTATTCAGAAACAAGTCTGTGGTTGCGTATTCTGGATTTTAGAATGTGATAAGTGTATATCATTAACAGTGAATACCTTTTGTGCCCTCAGAAATTGTTTCGAGCGATTGTGTCGTTGTCGAAGGGAAAGAAATTGATGGTTGAACTGTTGTGACTGTGGGTGGTTTTACTGCATGTCCTGTGAGGTAAAATGCTTACAAAATGTATTTGATATAGCTTGTTAAAATAAAATATTTAAACAATTAACTATGTTGTAAAGTAATGTGATTAGTGTAAAAAATATTGTGAACATTGAATATGGAATGCAAATCAAAGTGAAGAAAATTATACTACGCGTGAAACATGTATGCATTTATAATTCAGTCACATTGTGAAATATCATCTAGAATATGTCAACTCTAAATCAACCCAACAAAATATTTGCCGCTTCCAAAGTGATTTTATCTTTACATTGCATGTATAATTATTGTTTCTAATGTTTTTTGGAGTCTTTCGAAGTCTTAAATAAGGTTAATATTCAAGTTTCATAACGCTTTTTGATAATAAAAGATCGATAATGTGCATCAATATGCAATGTAATTATACAAAGGGTTAACACAAGTATATCCTTGTTATTGTACTTTAGATATGAACAAAACAGGCAATCGCATATGCACAGAAACACAGGTACACTATTATCTATTTGATAAAGGGGCTTACGCAAATATGCATATATTTAAACCTGATTAGGATTTAACAATAATCATTATATTGCAGCTTCTTAGTGAAAATAACAACTGTATTGAAATTACTACTTTGGGTAAAATTTAACTAACAGCGATATTGCGGCAATCTGAACGGCACCTACAGTGTTTATAAAGTATCGATAACCCTCTTTATCAATTGTTATGAAGAAAGTTGCCCACCAAACTATATAAACGATAAACGATTATTTTTATGAAAGACAGTGAATTAAAGCTGACGGTGGTGACAGGAGACAGATATGACCACGTTTTTTTTATCAGATAAAGTAATATTTTTCTATACATTTGTAATTCATCGTCACAAAACATGGACTGTTCTGAACCTAAGAAGCTAAGTGAAATGCACAGAAATCCAAATATGTGTTCATTACTTGAAAATACACAACGTACTTTGCAACCATTCAAGAAGCTGTAATGAACATTGTCACTTACACTAATCATAATGTTCATTCATTTAAAGACATACTCGCTTACCATTTTTATTTATAAAAAATGACCTGTCGAAGGCACAAGTTTTTGAAAATATATTAAAAGCACGTGCCTATAACAACAGCTCAGCCTTTTACCTGACACGATCCGACCTTTATGTTGACTAAAACAAGATACTAATACGACCAATTCCTGTCACCTGTATTTATATATGTTTTAAGGCTTAAATAGGCAAAGTATTCGGCTATGACTTCAGCTGTTCAAGAACAATTTGCTTCTATATTGCCAATATTTTACTAATATAAGCTATGCAATCAATGTGTGTTAAATATAAAAAACACCTCTTTTTTAGTTTTGTCGCTAATTTATAAGCATGTGAGTAATCGGAGTTGAATAATTATACATAATATACATGTATATTTGGAGTTCATTCCAAGCCTATGTTAAAATCAAACTTGAATATACAGACATGTATGAGGCAAACAAGAAACAACATACCTGTTGTTGATTGAGTCGAGCTAGCCGTGGTTGTCGCTGTTGTTTCTCCTTCTGTTGATTAAAATAACTACAGTGTAAACATGGTCAGGTAGAAAAAGTTGTGTCTTGTCATAAGTATTGCATGGAGTTATATATATTTATGGATATACACAATATCTGAATATTTAATCCGTGTAAATGGAAGTTAAGAAAGAAGACCTAAAAACGATTTTAATACCAGTGTAATTGTTTTCACTGTCCATATCGCACCATACAATATGAAAAGATACGATACAAAGCAATAACTGAAACATGCAAATACGATAACGGAAAAAATACAACTACATCGGCCGTGAAGAAAAATTGTAAAAAATACCATGTTGTTTGGTCATCACCTTAATGGAAATGAGGTATCATCAAATGCTAAATGGTGATTATATCACGCATATGGTATAAACATACGCCAGGTATTTATAGTATATAAAGACCAACAGATGTACACTTTTTAAAGTACATAAATGATACATATTTTACTAAATGTTCAGCTGACATAAATTCATACAGGACAATGATTTAATAATCACTTACCTTTACATTGAAGTATTTGTATGTGAATTCTGTATGGACGGTTTGGTTTAAATTTCTCATTCAAAACGATTTTAATTTTACTAAACTCTTCATTTCCCACCTGCAAATACAAAATGTACATATAATAAGCAAATAATAAACAAATGTTCGTTGTATAACCTGCAGAATCCTTATATCAAGATTTTTTTATTTTTTCTTAAATCGAGATAGATTAACATGTATCTTAGTCTGTTGGAATCAGGTTGAACCTTGCGTGGTTATTCCTATAACATATTATTTTGCTACAATGAAATACATTATATATCATGGATGAAATAAAAAGAAATGTTGGGTTTATATATCTTACTTTAACGTTATGCTACCTTTTGAACACTTGCAAAAACAACATCGATGAATGACAGCTAGCAGAAATATACTTTGCAAAATGTCAAAACTCAGTATATAACCATTAATCATGTATAGGAAATGCCCACATTTGGTGGGATTTAATTTTAAACATATCTCATATCCTTTTTAAAACTTCTCCATTATGCACAAACATGCACTCACCAAACTTTAAGCTAGATTTGATTGTGATAGATTAACTGTTAATCCATGTGACTCAATAAGGAGTATTCGCTCAGGATAAATGGAAATGAAAAACGTAATACCAGGTCACTGTATTAAAATATATGAACGAATTCACAAACCACTATGTTCATCTCTAGGTCATTCTCTTATCAAATGCGAATGATTTAGTGTTTGTCATTGGTTATTAACACTGGTAAAGAAAACCAGTTATCATTGACATCAAAATAGCAGAACGAATCTCTGGTTCAACCCATAAAGCATAGCCTACACTACAACAAGAAACAAACTGTGAAATGGTTATAACAGTACAATGAGTGATACTTATTCAACAGCAATGATGGTTGTTTTTAAAGCAATGTACCCTTACCAGTTTAGGTCTTGGCTCATATGCTGAATCAGGGAACTCCAAAGTGAACGACTTCACATTTCCATTTTGTAAATCATCTGGTCCTGTGATGACCAGTCTGACCGGTGAGATAATTCTACTGAATACTAATGTTATTTCAACATTTTCCGGTATATCGGCATATTCTGCAAAGCTATCAAGAAGTGCTTCGTTGTCATCTAGATCAAATGGTGTACCATCAGGATATTTAATATTGATATTATCGGTATTGATGAGGTCCGGTCTCTTCATAACGTCCTCTTCCTCACACTCGTGCGTAGTAGTTTGAGAAAGGGTTGTAGTCGATTCTTTAAAAAACACAATGGGTAACAGACATAAATACTTTGACAATATTTATATTCTTACGAACATATCATATGTCTTTTGCAAAATAAACATTAAACTATGTCTTGCAAATTAATTGATACTATATACATAATATAAATGTTGTAGCATCATTGTTAGGACAAATTTAATATGTTTTATTTTAAATATGTTCCGAAAACTTGTTTGTTTGTTTGTTTGTTTGTTTGATTTTGTTTAACGTCCTATTAACAGCTAAGGTCATTTAAGGACGGCCTCCCATGTGTGCAAGATGCATGCGTGTAGTGTATGTGTGTGTATTTTGGGAGGCTGCGATATGTTCGTGTTTGTCTCCTTGTGATAGCGCGGAACTGATGCCGACTTTATAGTGCTACCTCACTGAGACATACAGCAGGACGCCCCACCCGGTCACATTATACTGACAACGGGCGAACCAGTCGTCCCACTCCTAATTTGCTGCGCGTTAAGCAGGAGTAGAAACTACCATTTTTAAAGACTTTGGTATGTCTTGGCCAGGGGACAGAACCCAAAACCTTCCTCACCGAAAACACCCTGCATTTTAAGTATTATATGATAATGCATTTTATTGTTATTTTTTTAAGGTAATACGATTTTACGTATCTGAGGTTTGTTTACAGAAATGATAAATTTGCTAGGGTTGTAAAGTCATTTTTCTTAATAATGTGCGTCTGCATTAGCGGGGTTGCACGACAGTACATGATGTCAGAAGTGTGCGTACGAGGGTATTCCGTCTTTGCGTATTGCAGGGTTATCTTCTCTTGAGAGCAGGTATTGATTGTTACGTCATTGGTTTGTGAGAGTAACGTCATATTTTTTGAGAAAATGACGTAATTTTCTCATACAAACCAATGACGTAACTATCAATACCTGCTCACAAGAGAAGATAACACTGCAATACGCAAAGACGGAATACTGTGCGATAATAGCGTGTGCACAGTTATCGGATAGGTATCGTTTATTGATATCTATTTAGGAATAGGATGTGTATATAAAAAAATCGTATTTAACCTTGTACTTGTATCTTTCCTTTTTACCAAGGTTATTCTGTTTTTCTAACATAAATGGATATATTGCTCAACAGAATTATTTTGAAATTACTTTAATCGATAAGTGTGGGGTTTATGGCCATACACTCTGTGCATCTAAACAAAGCAACCTTAATTATTACCAATTATCTGTGAATTACTAGGAAACGGATACAATTTTGTATCACTAGTCAACTGTTAAGGAGGTGTGCAATTTCAAAACAAAGCGAAACAGACACAATGAACAAAAGTAAGATCCAGTTGTGTTTTGATAAATCGTAAATCATTAAAGAACTCTATTCTTCTCTTGTAACATTCGTTGCATGTTTTATAGTAACACGGATCTTGAAGATTGAGAAACTCCATGCAATTCACTATACGTTTGTGAACTAGTAGTGAATCTAATTGACACTATAATATCATTATTGGTAGTTTAACAGTCATTGTTATAATATATCATCCATAATATCGACCAACCAATCAAACTTTATAGCACATATGTGCGCGTAAGTTGCAAATCAGGGCGATCGATTGTGAAATCTCACATTTGTTTACACAATTTGCGGACGATGGGCGCAGGGTGTGCGCAAAGTAAATGTGCTGTGTTGTCCTTTTTTGTTCCATAGAGGAATACAATGCAAGGAACAGGAAGAAATTTTAACTTTGTTTCTTACCTGTAGCCTGCATATAAAACCCTTAGGTTTATATATATTCATTGATAAACTTTGACAACTCAATATCGGACGCTTGTAAAATACTTTCTTTGTGACAGTGAGGCCGATCATTTTAATCTTGCCTCATTTTCTCAAAACCTCTCTAATAGAATTATAGGAATATTTCTAATAATTAAAATTGACAAACTTAAATTGTTCGCCATTACAGGCATTTCCGGTTCAATTTTACTTCCCTATTCCCTAGGTTGAAAACGAACACGAGTGTTTGGCAATTTTAAGAATGTTTCCCCGAGGGTTGAGATTCCCTTATCTTACCAAAATGAGGAAGGGGTGAATTATCTTTTTCTCTTACCCTATTCGCCCATTATACACAATGTAATGGAAACGTTACATGTTAAATTCAGGGTTGACGTGACGTTGATGGATTGATGGCGTGACGTCAAAACAGACGAATCTAGACTAATCTGTCCTATTTTGTGAACTTCATGTCGATAGCAGGAAACGCCGGGCAAATAACAACCTGGCCAATCATTTTTGCTAAATGAGTCTGATGTATAATGTGTTTACCTGTTGTACTCTGGGTAGTAGTAGGTTGTGGCGTACCAGTTGAAACAATAGACGTCAACGTCATAGTTTCTGACGGAGAAGTTGCTACGGTGTGTGTTGTGCCGGCGGTCGTTGTTGATTGTGAGGTAGTGGAGAGCGTTGATGAGGAAGACGGTGTTGTCATAGTTCCAATTGTTGACACTATGAATGCAACATATAATGCAATTCCAAATAACCACGCGCACATATTTGTAAAACAGATGTTGTTTGTCACAGTATTTGTGGGTTTTTTTCCACAAATGAACTTTTCTGTGTTGACGTTACCTTTGACCTAGCGCTGTTATATATACAGGTATATGTACAAGCATATTAACATATATGCACATAACAAATAACGACAGAATGATAAAACATATACACTGGATGTGAGGAAAGAAACGCTCGTTTCATGTTTATATGTATGTATATATACAGGCATGTTTGTGAGGATGAATTTCAAAATATAAAAAGTAAAAAATAACGGTTTATCGCTCAGGCTTCAAATGCAATACGGTATCAACCCGACGAGTCAAGATTTGAAAATCTAACCGAACACAAGTTGTGCTTTTCCAGTAAGTACGTTATTTTGAAAATTGGATGAAGTACGAGAGAATAAAACTCAGCAATAATGTTTAATTTATACCGATAGTTTTTGACTCCATAGAGGTAGTTATTGCTTCAGAAGGAGTGGTCGTTAATTATGGCGTAGGACATTGAGTCCTTTTGTAGTGGTAGAGCCTTTTAAATAAGCGATGAATGAATGTGTTGCATCATATTTTTTCAAAATCATAGCAATCACATTGACCGATTACAATTAATATTGGTGTATAAAGCGATGACGGAATTAATAATATTCTATTTTATAGGCTATTTTCTATTTATTACCCGCTGCATTAACTATGAGTTGACGTTGAGAAAGATGTTGTTTGACAATTGTTGCTCATGTACCGACAGTCGTTGCCTCACCTGGAACTTGTGTTGTTGAACGTTTCATTTTTAACATTGATTGTATCAAACGAACAATATCTATGCCATAATACTGGTTGTTTAACGTCAAATTAAAGGTGAAGGAATAGTTAAAAGGATATCATAAAACCATATGAAACGGGATAGCAGAAGTTATAATACTTGTTATGTTTAATTCAAAATAAAATATGCATCTTTGAGAACTCTACCTGAATCTCCATTTAAAACAACTTTTCTCCAACAATCACTTACTTTACATACTATTATAATGATGTATTTGGTTCGTGCGTATCCGATCTGCATTGCATTTGTTGTTTTAATTTGGTGTTCAGCATCGTATGCATTTTTGAAATTTAGTGTCGTTTAATATGTTATGAAATTCTGGTATCGTTTTATAAAAGAAACACTGCAAAATTAAAAGACATAACGATTGTTTCGAATGGATAATATATAGACATACATCCTTAACATTGAATGCAATGCAAACGCACCTGCTGTGCTGTGGAATGTCGAAGACGCTGTTGTACCAGCAGAAGACACAGTTGTCGGTGTCGTTGTTTCCTGGTAGGGCTTTGTTGTTGCAGATGTAGGAGCGGTCGTCGTTGTTGGTGCCTTTGATGTTGAGGTAGCAGTAGACGTGGTTTCTGAAATTATCGTCGTCTCACTAGCAGATGTTGATGAGGTGCTTGTTGTTGTCGAAACTGAAATTAGGAAGGGGTTTACACACAATTGTTCAGCAGGTAGGTTTCGTTTACAGACGTCGTTCATATGGATGCTTGTGACACCGATTATGTCGTATGTGAATTCGTAGATTTTGTTTTTTTCTCTTTATTGCGGCATACACTAATTGCAATTCAGTACACCATATGTGACGACCGTCAAAATGTCCTCCTTAAATCTACTAGAATCTATGAATCATTTCAAACCTTTAGATGAAGAGAATAGATCTGATTAGACTCTGAAATAATGTTATTGAAATACATTCAATAAAAGGCTCCAGGTAAAGTTTCAAAGATTTTGGTCGTCAGTAATCCTGTCTAAGCAGGTTTTTTGACCAGATAATGTACACATCAAATGCAACCCTTAACATTGGGACACATTTTGCGTATTCTGTATAGAATCAAGTTTTGAATCAGTTATCAGCTGAATAGACAGTTTTCGTTTTGTCAACTTTAATGCGTATTTGCAATCATGTAACGTCATAATGCAAGCACATTTCACCATTGGTTTTCATACAAAGTTGGAAACTTTGGTTCTGGTATGGTATTTGTTTGTAATGTGACTGTCATGAGAGACGACATTAACGCTTCCCGATCAACCACATATATCACAATATTGAATGTCTTGTATACAGACCTGCTGTACTTGGGGAAGTCCCGCTACTTGTACCAGTGGTGATTATAGATGTGGTTGGTGATGTTTTTTCGACAGTTGTCGATAATGGTGCAGTCTTTGTTGTTGGTGCCTTCGATGTTGAGGTAGCAGCAGACGTGGTTTCTGAAACTGATGTTGTCTCACTCACAGTTGTTCCTGATGTGCTTGCCGTTGTCGATACTGCAATTTGAAAGGTGGATCCTCGAAATATACAGCATGCAATGTTTTTAAGTAGAGATTATATTTACAGTTATGGAATAGCACAACATTACACGATGTGCCGTATGCGTACGATGTTTGCACGGTGAGTATTCTACGTGCACTCGATAGGAAACTGTGCCATTAGATCGTAGCCGTAGTGTCTTCGGAGCCGTCATACATGCACATGTACAATTTTTGCGGAATCGGTCAATATCTACATTTTTATTATTCAGAAGCTGCGACCATATTGCATGGCGCATCGAAAAACGAAAAGTAATTTATATATTACCTTAAATTTTTGAATACTGATGTAAAGATTTGAGCAATTGCAGCTGGTAGATTGAGAAATGTGACGGCTATTTACTGGTCATTTTTGTCCCATAAAGAATTGTCTTAACAACGCAAGTAGTTGTGCCGACGGTAGTTTGTTCAGACATGAAAGGCTTATATTGAGTACGAACAGGGATTGAACGTTCAGATGATAGGATGTTTATAAGTCAACACGTATTCACAATATTAGGACCATTTACTGCCATTCTATCGTCGTGTAAGTTGTTAGAAAAACACTATGACTTGCATTCAAAGCAAAAGTTGAATTGGTTTATAAGATATTTTGATTGCCGGATCGTCGAACAGATCGGAACTGATGCATTGTGAACATTGTTTAACATGAATGTGAATGGCAACAACTAACTCCATATATATTAATATGTTATGTCAATGTCTGACATAACAAATATGTTTTTAATGCAGATACACCTTGTATTAGGTCATACTATAACAATAGACGTATGCTGCATATGACAAACAAATGAAGAACAAAATACTGATTGGTGTCCACCTTTTTATGACTGCTGTTTTAGTCAGATAACTTTACATCTCTTTTTTTGCTATCCCTTTCCCTGTTTGTTTTGATGCAATGGTGTCGAACTGTTGTACCTTTTGATATCTCAATAGAGACAATCAACAACAATGTTTCATATGCAACATTAATATTAAAACATGCCGTACGTTATGGATAATACAGGTAGATACAGTTCAGATGTAATAGCATTAAATCCATACCACCAGAACGTGTAGACCCCGTAGAAGTAGCTGTTGACTCAGTTGGAGTCGTTACAGAAGGCTGCGTCGGGATAGTTGGCTTTTCTGTTGTGGTAGAGACTGTAAAATGATCAGCCAATAACTACATTATATTATGGTAATTTAAGATTCCGTACATTGTTTTTCGTGAGTTCGATTTCACACAATGAAAAGAATATGAATTATTTTTAAGAGATTAAACGTGGGATAATTAGAAATCTCCTCAGCAAATTATGAACTATTTTTGTTTTGATGGGAATTTACCCTGAGATGGCGTTGACAGGGTGGTCGTTGCAGCTGTTGTTGCTCCTGTACCGACAGTAGTCGACAAAGACGATGTGCCTCCTGAGGTTGAGACACCTGAGGTAGACGATGGTTGGGTCGTTGTCTCACTTGAAACTTGTATTGTGGAACCTAACATTTTCAACATTGTTTTAC